GAGCAACAAACTTGATCATACAGAAATAGAACGGAACGAGCACCACCAAAAAAGAAAAGGGGTTTTGTGCATAGGCCCCTCATAGGCCTTGACCGTAGGAAAAGATATTTGGATTCACCTTGTTGCTAAGTTGGTCCTATTCTCTGCAAGTTTGCTTTGCCATTTGTTGGGCTTGTGTTGCGTATTAAGGACTTGACACCATGCAACTCATTCCATTCGTTGGAGTCTGAACCTTATTTTGACATACAAAGCATTTGGGTGTCGAGTTCGCGCATGTATCTCAACTAAAATTCACTGGGCACCAAATTTGTGTCTTGAAAAGAACTTCCTCTCAAAAAAATTTGAGAGAAAAGAAGCTCGAAACTGAGAAGAGCAAGAGATAATTCTAATGAGTGGGAGGGGCGAGGGGCGTTTGAAGCCATTGTAGCTCAACTTACTAAAACATGGGCAAACCATAGATAGACTACAGTGAGCCCTCAAGTTTTATAGAGAGAGTTTTGGGTTTTGAGACGTGTGAGATTGTAGAGGAAGAGAGAGAAAAGGAGATCAACTGGTTTGCAGATCTACTTGAAAAAATAAAATTGTTACTCCAGTGATGAAGGTCCAAGCAAAACTTGGTAAAGTAATTCCGACATCTTCACATCGCAATTCAAAGAATTGGTTGCGACGCCATTTTAGGAATCTTCAGTTTGGGCAGTTTGCTTTTCAAAATTTGAAAATATCAAAACGTTGGATTCCGGTAGGACATTTCATGGGAAATATGACTGAGTCTTCGTCTTCATTGTTGACCGTGGGTGTGGGTCTACGGTGCCCTGTTGATAAGGAGGGATCACCGGTTTCTATTTCTATTGATAAGATGAAATCTGACATCGGGATTTGAGGCTCCAGTCCCGAAGTTGGGAATGATGATGAGGGTTCACACATGCCCATACGGAAGGGGAAAGATCTCTTTCGTCTTCCTTCCCTAAAGCTGCATCTCCTTTTGCAAGTTCTAAGGCGGTTGCTGAGGGCTGCATTCATATGCTCGTAGTCTTCTTTTTGGTGCTTGTAGGGCAATGGAGGTGCTCTTCTATCATGCTACAGGTGCTGCTTGCTTTTTTGGGCAAAGTGTATCCTCTACAGTATTGGCGTGCAGCTAGGAAGAGCCGCTCTCGTCCTAGGTCCTTGTTTGTTCCTCTGGCACTTGACCCTTTGGCCATTGTGGTTATTGAAGAGGCTGAAGAGCAGCTGGCTCTTGAGGAAGGGGTATTTGTGCCAGAAGCTGGTCTTGAAGGTGGGCTTGGAGAAGGTGGTCTTGATCAAGAACCTGGGTTAGCTCTGGTTGAAATAGATATTCCCACCCCCCCCCCTCCCCCTCTAAACTTTATTCATCAAGAGAATATGCCGCTCTTACTTCATTTAGTCATTGAAAACCCAAGGATCCCATCTCCGGAGGATTCACCAGGGCAAGTCAATTTAAGGGGATGTAGAGCAAGATAAATCGGAAGAGAATAGGGTTGCCACAATTGTGTCTGATAGCAGGATGGATTTTGATGTCTCGATTGGAGTTGTCTTCCAAGAGATTATTGATAAGAAGAAAGATAAAAAGGAGAAGGAGGTCGGTGGGCAGTAGAAGTCTTGTGACAAGGGAAAGACTTCTGTCAAAGATGGTAGTAAGAACAAGCTAAAAGGTAAAAGCTCAGCGATGGGTACGCGATCCTCTGCGAGAGAGAGGGATTTTGCCTGTGACAACTGTGACTCGAGGAATCATCATCTCAGATGACAAGCCAATTGAAGTTAGCTCGGGAGAGTCATTGTCTTCATCTTCTCTAGATTCGGATGAGGCTATGGATGAGGCAATGGAGGAAGCGATGGCTCTGGAAGAAATCTTTTTTTGCTCGGGTAGGAATGGCCCAGGTTCTTCCGCTTCTTATTTTTCTTAATGATTATTATATCATGGAATATTCTTCCACTTCTTATTCTTTTTAATGATTATTGATTATTATATCATGGAATATAAGAGGTTTGGGTGACCTCAAGTGTAAGAAAGAAGTCCTATTTTTGGTTTGTACGTTTAGACCCACAATCCTTAATTTACAGGAAATCCAACTTTCAAGTCTCAATATTGCTGGTTTCGGTGAAGTTTGGGGTTTGGTTCTATTGACTTTATGAGTGTTGATTCAGTTAGGGCTTTCGGGGGGTATGTGGATTTTGTTGGATTCTACTATTTTGCACTCTTTTTATTATGTTAAAAAAGATAATTTTTGGTTGATGGTTTTGTGAGCCCAATTCCTAAATTTCATTGGGGGCTGATGAATGTTTATGGTCTACATTCTTTTGTTTTCAAAGAATTCTTTATTAATGGACTTCATTTTGAGCTTCAACCATCCGATTTGTTTAGGGCGGATTTTAAATTCATCAGGTGGTCGAATGAGAGTATCTCGGGTCCCATTACCTCTGCCATGCGTCTGTGTAATAGTTTTATTGAATCTTAAGCTTTGATTGATGTGCCTATTTCAGGCATTGTTTTTACTTGGACTAGTAGGAGCACTTCGAATTTATCAATGTCTAAAATTGACATATTCTTGGTTTTTGGAGAATGGTCAGAGTCTTTTTCCCTCGCTTCAGTCATAGCATTTTCTAGGCTTTCCTCTGATCATACCCCCATTATTCTTTGTTCTAAAGGTGTTTGTGGGGCCTTAAACCTTTTCGATTAGAAATTTATATTTATTCAACTACACTAGTACAACCACCCATTTTGAAATTTAAAGGACCATAATGATTGTGCGTACGAAAGATAAAAGGCTCCTCTGTAGACAAATCCATATTAAATTGTTATGTTTAGTAAGAACAATGTAAGAGCAATGAGAAATGTATTACCAACATTTTACTAGCACTTTGCCTATAATCTATTATTTATTTATTTTTGTCACAAAATTCCATTAAAATGTGATGTTTAAAAGAAATATGAGAAATGCATTACCCATATTTTACCAACGTTTGCCTATAAACTATCAATTTTTTTTTTTTTTTGTCACAAAATTCCACTGAAATACGGAATTAAATTCATCATCAATCATTCTAAAAAGATTTTCTAATAATAACATCATCACCATTCCAAAAAGATTTTCTAATAATAACATCATCACCATTCCAAAAAGATTTTCTAATAATAACATCATCACCATTCCAAAAAGATTTCTTAATAATAACTTATACCATTCTAAAGTCATCATCACACAAATTCTTACTTATTTTGCATGTCTTTGACACTTACATGAAATCACATGTCTTCTAACATGATTAAACTTTGGTTTCAACATGGTAAGCCATTGGAATAACATGTTTTTATTGTGATAAGTTTTATTTTTATTTATTTATTATAGAAATCTTTCAAATTATCTATATAATTTTAAATAAGCAATAAATTTATGATAGCAAATTAAAAAAATTTATCGTACAAGTTAAAAATTAGGAAGAAATTTGATTAGTAAACTAGAAAGTTTGGTAATTACAATAGAAAATTATGAGGTATTGGAAGAAATTAAAGAGGTATTTTATTTTAATTGAGCTTTTTCTAATCTCTTATGAGGATTATGTTGGGTAAAAAATTTTATTATATTGTGTTATGTAATTTTTTGGGTGAAATTTTTTATTATAATTGTGCAGAGTAATTTCTCATTGATTAGATATACTAAGGAGAAATGAATATGTTAAGTAGAGAGGGAGAATGGAAAAAATCTACATGAGAGGAATGGGTGATAAAAAGCCTTCAAAAAGACAAAACTAAAAAAAAATACAAATAAAAAGAAGGAAAGAGCACATTATGCAAACCAGTTATTAGAGTAGGGGACGGGCTCAGATAAAAAAAATACAAATAAGAAGAAGGAAAGAGCACCGTATACAAATCAAATAAAAAGAAGGAAAAAGCACTTTATACAAACCAATTATTAGGATAAGGAATGGGCGCAAAAAAAGAGGGGGGAGCCCCAATGCAAAAGACTAAACGGGTTGTCATTTTATTAAGCCGAGAGAGACGCACACGACAAATTGCGAAAGATTTCTAAGATTACTCGCGCAATTTTTTCACCTTTAACCGCTTGCATGATTTTTAAGAAACTCTCCTGTAACCACTTTCTATTTTTCTACTATAAATTTTGGGACAGTGAAGATGTTATATTTCCTCGTAATCGATTGTCATTTAATATTGGGACAGTGAAGATGTTATATTTTCTCGTAATCGATTGTCATTTAATAGATTTTCATGTACCCTTATGTGTCTATTAACTATTATGAATATATAAGGTCGTTGTTTTATATAGATAAATACATATAAAAATAATAAAAATAAAATATAAATTTTTAAACATAAACACAAGAAGTAAGAATGAAATGAAAATCAGTGGACAGAGCTGTACTAAAGCAACTTGTCATGGTTTTTTCCTTCTTGGCAGCCCATCCATCATTTCCGTTTGCCTATGTGCCTTCGGCAGAAAGTCATTTGATGAACAAGCAAGAAAACTACGGATGGCAGGTTATGCAATTCACCAGCCGATTACAAACTTCTTAAATTGTCGACATCCCGACCACGGTCTCCATGAATTTAAGACCTTTGAAATGAGGGCAAGGGCTGGCAACAGGCCGAACCAGCCTTGGCCC